ATTGATTCATGTTTGTGGCTGTAATGTGACAAAATGTGGGAAAGTTCAAGGGGGCCCAATACTTTTGCAAGCTACTGTAGCAGCAGTGATGAGTGAGAGGCTTGGTTTCAAGAGTAATAACCACAAGGAATAGTACCTTCCATGGAGAAGCCCAAGATCAAGGCAGCATGGAGGGAAATTGGCCAACTATCAGAGTTGCAGAAAGGTGCGAAGAAGGTGCCTTAGAAATACAGCAAGCTGTCTATACCTGATGCCTTGAACAGGGGAACAATATGAAAACAGCCCCACCAAGACTGGAGACAGAGCAATACTGGAAGAGCATATGGGAGAAGGCTGCAACCCATAATGGCAATGCTCAGTGGCTAGTGGATCTAAGGCAAACCACCGCAACTGCACTGAACAGGATCCAGTAACCACCACAAGCGCAGAGAAAGAGTCTCAAGCAAGAAGAGTTGGACAGCACCAGGCCCTGAAATGATTCTGGTTGACTGTAATCCATGAGCCTCTGGCACAAATGAACCAGCTCCTAATTTACAAGACACACCTGGAATGCCTAACTGAAGGCCGGACAGTCCTGTTCCCCAAGGACCCCAGAAGGGACCAGTCCCATACAACTACCGGCCAATAACCTGCCTCAGTACCAGACGCTCCTGTCAACTATCATAGCGGCTAAGATGAACAGGCACATGGCTCAATACATGAGCGGGGCACAGAAAGGAATTGGCAGGAATACCAGAGGAGCAAATCATCAGCTGCTGGTAAACAGAGCAGTCGCCTGAGACTGGATGACCAGACTGACCAGCCTGTGCACTGCCTGGCTTGATTACAAGAAGGCCTATCACTCGGTGCCCCACAGATGGATCCTGGAATGCCTAGAATTGTACAAGATCAACAGGACCCTAAGAGACTTCATAAGGAATTCAATGGGGATGTGGCGTACAACATGTGGGATGATATCAAGCTGTATGCCAAGAAGGCACGGGACATCGATTTACTGATCCACACCACCAGAATCTACCGCAATGACATCGGAATATCATTCAGACCGGAGAAGTGTAGTTGGATGTAAGTAAAGGGAGGGAAGGTAGTCGGAACTGAGGGGATCGCACTTCCAGAAGGCAAAATTGCAGACATTGAGGGCAATAATAAGTACCTGGGAATCCCACAGGCAAATGTAAACCAGGAAGATGCCGCTAGGAAAGCCGCAATCACCAAACACCTGCAGAGGGTCAGGCAAGTCCTGAGGAGTCAGCTGAACGGTAAGAACAAGATCCAGGCTATCAACACCTACGCCCTGCCCGATCAGGTACTGCAGGGGCATTTCATATGTATATAGTGATAACACTACACACCTGTGGAACTTCAGGTTGGAGGTTTGACTCTCAACCAGGGGGGTCTGTATCCAGTAAGGGTCCCTGTCAGCCTGTCAGATACATAGATCAGATACCTAGCTGGGATAATAAGCTGGCCAAAGGAGGAGATAGAAGCCAATGACCTCAAAACAAATCCAGCACCTGTACTGTACGCTAAGCAAAATGGTGGAGGCTGGGGACTGGTGAGTGTTAGTACCATACTCCAGGATGAGACAATGAACATCCATGAGTACATCAGGAAGATGGCCTCAACCGGCCACGTGCTTAGAGAATAACTAAGCCAGCAAGAACCTGGGAAAGAAAAAGAGCAAGGAGAAGAACCAATCATGGAAGGACAGGCCTCTGCACGGTATGTACCACCGGCAGATGGAGGAGGTGCGTGACATCCAGAAGTCCTACGACTGGCTGGACAAAGCCAGACTGAAAGGCAGCACAGAGGCACTAATCATGACCGCACAGGAACAAGCTCTGAGCACAAGATCCATAGAGGCTGGGGTCTATCACACCAGGCAAGACCCCAGGTGCAGGCTGTGTAAAGATGCCCCTGAGACAATCCAGCACATAACATAACGCCCCCAGGGTGGTGGAGAATGACCGAGCTAAGATCCTGTTTCGTCACTCATCCAAGTGACTTCTTCAGTCTTGCAGTCAGCTGAGACTGAACAAGTCACCTGGATGAGTGACGAAACGTTTCTCCCACTGAAAAACATCCAGATGAACAGAATAAACTTTTTGGGAGTATAGCTACATCTATCACTACGCCCTTCTTCCCCTGCTTGCCCACATGTCCTATGTCCAGCTGGTTAGCCATCACCAGTTTTTCCATCTGTATCTGTGTCCCACAGGATCTTTGTCAGGTGGTTGATATATATATGTGTGTGTGTATCAGTTGATATTTGATTTATATCCACCATTGTTTTCAAGGTCAGCTACAAATTTATCGGTCTAACGTTGAAACAAAGCTTAATTTGGAAATAATTTAGAAACTATAGTTCTTATAAGTGTGGCGTGTATTGTGAAGAAAGAAAGGTGAAACAATAAAAGTGTGGGCTTTGTAAATACTCCCTGGAGCGTGAGGTGCCATGGCAGAGGTTTGTGCTCTTTGGGTGCTTCTTGTTACCTTTTTGTCTTTGTTTTAGTCTATTTATGTCTTTGCATTCAGGTAATGTTGTCTATTTCAAAGTGTTGATGTCTGAGACTGATAGTGATTAATCATGACGAAATAGTAAGGTTATTGTTGTGTTAATTTCAGAGTGGTGGATATAGGTAACCATGTTACAATTTATTATTAACATCAGTTGTATTTGAGAATGTTAGAAAGATGCAGTTTGCTATGATGACGAGAACAAAAGAGTTTTTCGATATTCAATTAATTCCTTTGGTTACAATATGACAAAAAGCAGATAAGAGAATAAAAGATAGTCCATTCTTTCCTTGTCAGCTGCACAAAAAGTGACCAGAGACTGCCGTTGGACTACACACTGCATCTTATTGTTTATTGTATGATGCTGCTCTGAACTCCATTTTAAGCAGACTCGTGGAAATGAGTAGTATCTCAGGTAACAATTGCAAGGAGGATTGTTTATTAAGATAACGAGATCAAATATCAAGTAATAAAAAACTGGACCTGCACAAAGGTCACTAATAACCCCGACTGTCCATCCGTTTGCTGTGGAACTGTTCACCTATTTTGATTAACAAGCAGTGTAAATAGATGAAATATTGCTGTTTGTGTCTCAGACTGTGCTTTTCTTCTCGTTCAGACTGTGGGTCTGGGCCTGCACTATGTCAAACTGGGAGGTCTAAGTGGGGCTGAGAGGATGACTAAATACAACCGGCTGATTTCTATAGAAGAAGAACTGGCCCAACAGGGAATCCTTGGTAGGTTTTTTTTTTCAGCCTTCCTTGTGATTTTTCTTTGGCTGGACAGAGAAACAAGGCCAGACAAAGCCCGAGAGAGAGAACGGTAGTAGTAGTGTCTGGGTTTGGGAACACGTCTCTCTCTTACTGCTGGATATGAAAGGACACGGTGTGTGAGGAATTGTACAAACGCGTGTTTGTGTGTGTGTGTGAGTGTAAGAGTGAAAACCCCCTACCTTGGATCTGTTAATTGGCCACCTAATTACACACAAGGACAAATACTTTCCCATCCATCATTTCTGAAAAAGCAGGCAGGGGCAGCAGAGGGTTAATGAGGGATGAGTACACGTCTGTCTAATCAGCTGCCATAAGCCGGCATTATTCAGCATGTTTATCTGTGTTTAATGTTTGTGTTCATTCTACACGAAGTGAAAGGGTTAACGTTCCCCAGCCACAGCAGTACAAATGCTATTTCCATCCAGTTGTCGTAGGTGTCTACGCTCCAGCTTTTGTACATTCACTTTATTTAATTTTGTCTCATCCAGTCTTTAAGGAGAAGCACCCTCCTCCACTGTTCCCTGACAACCCACATAAGCATTCAGGCACCGAGGGAGCAAGGTCTGGATTGGAGGAACACAGCTCACATCTGATTCAGACGGATCTTTGAAGGTGTCTTCATGATAATATAATATATTTACCTTTCACAATTCAGTTTTGCAGTTAACACCACCTGTAATAATCTGCTGAGGTGATTATAACCGTTGTGGATCGATCCAGGGTCACCATTGTATGAGCACCATTCTGCTATGTTTACAGCTCTGAAAAAAGTGTCTCTAACAGTTTGAAATATGAGTTCTTGTCAAGAAAAACATCAAATATATTCACATTTTGAGCTTCAGACTGAAAACACAGTGCTATGTACAATGATGTCATTTTAATTTGAAATAAAAACCAGAACGATTTTAAGGGACGGAAGTTCAAGCCAGTTCAAGCCCCAAACAAGTGCACATGGAAGATTTGCTTTTATATCTTAAATCTGCTGGATGGTGTTTGAAGGAAACGTTTGTATGTTTACTCCTCAGCAGCAAAAGAATGAGGGGGTGTTGTCATCAGTGTCAGGTGTACTAAAAGTCTCAGACAGGTTTGTGTCTCAGTGACTTCAACCTCAAGGTGAGAGGTCAAGTTTTCTGAAAATCTTGGAAATGGGATGAAATTAGATTTTGATTCAGTGTCAGTGTGTTTTCAGTGTTTGCATTTTTCAGCAAATAAAAGAGAAAATGATCACGCGTGGCCCAGAAGCATGTTTTCCTGCTGTCTTCCATTTCTGCAGGTCTGTATGTGCGTCGATCCAGAATATCTCCAGGCAGTAGAAGATTTAACTGAATATCAAATTAATGGAATTAATTTCACAGCTCTGAAAAGAGGTTCATTTATCGCAGTCTTAATTTAAAAGAACTAAAAGACGAGACCACAGTGAAACATTTTAATGTCACAGCTGACGGTGACACATTTTGTTAGCAATCTGATTTAAGAGTGTGACAGTTGAGTCATCGTGTTCGCGGGAGCTGTGGGAGCTTTAAAAGAGCTGGGTAAAGAAAAGGCTGATAGACAGACATATTCAAGTACAGAGCGCTGACAGCGTTATCAAACACTGCCTGCCCCTTGTCAGCACGGGACGTGAGCAAAAGGCTCCTGTGTAACTGGGCAGCGCCTGATGGCTCGCATCCTGCGGAGGAAGTGATTGTGTCTGTGTAACAACAGAAGAGGAAAGACCCAGAGGTGCAGCTCCTGCAAAAGTGGAGGAGCTGCATGGACCAGACACAAAGCTGCATCAATGTGTCACATCACTTTATCATTGAACATAGTACTGATCACCAGGGGTTATAATTTATGCACAGTTTATAGTGCCACAGTCAGGGGTTAAAGCGGGCTAGTGTTTGGTTTGGTTTACTCAGAGGTACAAAAAGACGAAGGCAGGACAGGTGAGGAAGAAGACAAGGAAAGGGATACCTGACACCTCACTCTGGATCACTTTATTGGTGAACAAAACCTTTGAACAGTGAATTCTAGGATGAGTTTTGAAGACACTGCACTGCTGTCCCATTCCTCTATTGTACAGTACTACAGAGCTTTTGTGATTTAAAAACAAAGCACGAGTAACGAGAATGGGGAAAGAAAGTACGCGTGCTCCTGATGTGGCTGCCCACTGGGATGGCCACATCTGTCTTTGGAAACCAGCGCTGTGTCTGATTGGTTGCCCTGCAGCTTGCTTGTATGTCTGCAGCCTGAATTCCCACAGGACCTCAGCTGTGTTGTTCTCAACAAGAATCAGAGGCTTCTGCTCCACATGCAGCACAGATGTTCTTGTACACTGTCCCAGCTTCTCATCCGGTGCCACAGCGGTCACGTCAGTGGGCGTACGTCATTGTCATGAGACACAAACAAACAAAATCACGGTCTAGTAATGCAGTAACGCAGCATGCTTACGGGAAAGGTAATCTAATTACTTTTTTTTACAATAGTAATCCCTTAATTTACTCGTTACTTGAAAGAAGTAATCAGATTATGCGTTACTGCCCATCTCTGCTTGGAACAAATTACAACAGGACAACAGGACTGAAGGGTTTTCATCAAAATGGAGCATGGGATGGCTGTTTCTTAATCTTTTATTGTTACTGTCTTTTATTTTAATTGGTTATATGAATTGTAATGACTATAGTGTGTTTTAACATGCTGTAATTTTGTATAGTTATTTAAAACAGATCGCTCTTGAAAATGAGACCTTGTTTCTCATTGAGATTTACCTGTAGAAATAAAAGTGAAATTAGAAAATAATAATAATACAGAGAAAACGCCAATAATAATATGACCCCCTATGAGCGGCACTTTGGTGACAGTGGGAAGGAAAAACTCCCTTTTAACAGGAAGAAACCTCCAGCAGAACCAGGCTCAGGGAAGAGCAGTCATTGGCTGCAACTGGTTGAGGGTGAGGAGAGGAAGACAGGATAAAGACATGCTGTGGAAGAGGGTCGGAGATTGATAACAACTAATGATTAAATGCAGAGTGGTGCACAAACACATAGTGAATGTGCAGACTGTGTGCCTTTGTATGCTTGGTGCTTAGTGCCTGTTCTTATACTTCCATGATCTTTGGATCTCCTCAGTAGTGATTACCTTCCTTCCCCCTTTTTATCATCTCACAACATTTTCTTCAGTCTGAAGGACATTCTGATGTCTTTGGTATAGAGTGTGGCAACTGATGTATCATTGGCTTAGAAAAGAAAGTTAGCGGCCATCCAGGTCTTTATGTCTTTAAGACATTCCTGCAGTTTAACTCATTGGTGTGTGTTATCTGGCTTCATGGACAGATAGAGCTGGGTGTCATCTGCATAGCAGTGTAAATGTATGCTATGTCTTCTAATGATGCTGCCTAAGGGAAGCATGTATAATGTAAACAGAATTGGTCCTAGCACTGAACCCTGTGGAACTCCATAATTAACCTCAGTGTGTGAAGAGGACTCTCCATTTACATGCACAAACTGGAGTCTATTAGATAGATATGATACAAACCACTGCAGTGCAGTACCTGTAATACCTACAGCATGTTCTAATCGCTCTAATAGGATATTATGGTCGACAGTATCGAATGCTGCACTGAGGTCTAGCAGGACAAGCACAGAGATGAGTGCTCACTAAGTTCAGCTACAGCAGTGAACTTAGTGAAGTGGCTGCATTGGCTTATTAACTGTTAGCTTATTAACTGTTAGCTTATTAACAGTTAGCTTATTAACAGTTAGCTTATTAACTGTTAGCTAACGGTACCACTGAGTGAGAACTGCTTTGCTTGCAGATGCTCATGGGGTGCAGTTAGCTTCTTTAGCCAGTAGGTGTGACACGCATCAGGGCCTGGTGCTGTACAACTCTTCATGCTTGAGACTCTTTCTTGGATGTTTGACACTGTGATAGTTAATGATTCCTGTTCAGGGAGGCTGCTGTGATCTAATCGTAGCTCCACTAGCCACTTTTCTACTTCTGGTATTGCTCTCTCTCCAGCCTCAGTGCCATCTGGTCAGGCTGCTGGACTCGTTGATGCTGACTAATGGACGGTGCCACAGAGAGTCCACCTTGGACGGTTCAGTGGAGAACGTCTGGTTTATTCTTTTATGTTCTGTGTCTCTGGTATACCTCTTCTAGCAGTTAGCCAAATCTGTGAGTCATGACAGCTTCTAAGGCCTCAGGTGTGAACAGCTGTTGTGCCTCTTAGGGACCATTTTCTTCATCACACCTTTTTGTTGTGCTAACTTTCCTCTGTGCTGCCTCGATCTTTGGGTTTCAGTGATGGCCACAGTAGGGATTGTCTGTAATACTGGATTCAGTAGACTTTCAGAGGATGCTTCACGTAGTCTTGGTAGTTGGCCACAGACAGTACAGGTTTCTAGCTAAGCTGCGATGTTCTTTATCAGTTCAGCTGCATTCAATGCCTTTAATATACCAGTTGTTCTTAGAATGTGTGGATGAATATATATCCCTCCTGACATGATGTTGGAACACTGAACTGCCTCACTGGAGTCTTGCATGGCTCGGTTTAATGGGTTTTTCATGTATTTATATTATTCAGGTGTTCTTGGAAGCCCAGCACACTTTGCCCATTAGGGTTTCAGTACCTGGGACTCCTACCATTTGGTGCTACAAATAAAGAAGCTCCTCCTGCGTTCTTTCCAAGCTGCTTAGACTAAAGGATCTGAAGGTTAACACTAACACTAATGTGTCTGGAATTGTACAAACGTTCTACAGTTTTTTAAAAAAGAAGGACAAATAACTAACAAAAACAAGTAGAACAAGTAAAAAGAACTCACAATGGACTCGAATGAACCCTTTGAAAGCCCAGCATATCGTATGTGATACTTGAGACTTCTACATCATCAGCGTGACTTTTCTTCATCCTCAAAAAATGATAAAAAATTGCATGACAATTTTTTAACGACTGAATTACAAAAATATGGCTTATGTAGCAAATGTAATCTGCATATATATAAAACTCATATATATGCAGATTAAAATTTGATATATTTTTGCATAAAGGTGCAACAAACACTCCATTATCACCAAATTAAAGATTCCTGGCAGTTATTTCATGCTTCAGGTTTTAAAGGGTTAAGTAAGGATGTATTTTGCATTTAGTATTCATTTTAAACAAACATTTTGAGAGTGTGAAAGGAATGAAATGAAAAGAAGAAAGTTCTTCCTGTTGTTGTTTGTTTGGCAGCTCACACCCAGTGTTGCTGTAAATGTCAGCGAGTAAAGGCAGCCTCTAATCAATGAAATGTGCCGACACAAACCGAGGCTGGACACACAGCAGCGCTCATCTGAAGCTCCCCAGCAGGCAATTTTTGAAAATACATGAAATGACAATCAAAATAGGTCAAATTAAGTGTTTCCCACACACGCTAACAGGACCTCCCTAATTGCTGGTCCTTGAAGGAACAAAAACACCAAACATTAGCTTGTATCGGCGTGATGTTGAGGGAACACAGTGGTGAGAAGAAGGAAGAAAAGGACATAGCATGGCTTGGGTAATTGCATGTTTTGCCTTAGTTTGCGAGGTCGGCACCGTCCATCAGTCGGCATCAGCGAGTCCAGCAGCTCGAGCTGAGGCAGAGGAAAGAAACCGAAGCGCTGACTTTGTTTCTGCTGAGGAAAAGAAGACTGAGGCAGTGCATCCAAGGGACACCAGTGTCTCTCCTCCTTTGAATGCAAAACTATATGTGAGCATTCAGCTGCGCCCACACAGCCTCGACTAGAAGAACCTCATTAGATAAAGAGGATATGAGGAGGTAGAGACATAAATTTCTATTTTCATTTACTCTCGCTCAAGCAGGTCAACTGCACACTGATACTCTAACCTCCAACTAGATAATCCCACACATCCTCACGCTGCTTTGTCAGCTGTCTACACCAACAATTAGTTTGTCGAATCTGCTGAGCGACTGTTTCCTGTTCCTAACGACGTGCTGGTAAATAAACTTAACCAGGACTTCCTCTGCAACATGTGCTTCAGCAGACTGATGAAAGAACGAAGGGAAGCCTTTGAAGCAGTGCTGCTGATGAACTTGGTTAGAACACAGACTTTGATCCACAGTGACATTTCCTGTACACTGTGTCGGGGGCTGGAAATTGCACCTCAGTGTTAAATGAAGCCTAAAGCGTTAATGAACAGCAGCACACAATAGGTGATGGACACCAGCCATAGTTCACAACTCTCATGTTTCACTCTCTCAGTGAAGAAAGTGTGTGGGAAATGTGGGCAGGTGTTGGGGAAAACAAAACACCGAAGCGACTCGGCCATGTGGTCAAATCAATCCGTGCCCGGCCCTGCTGGAGATTTCAGACATGGTACAAAGCAGCCAGTGGGGAAAAGTTCAGCATTTCTGGACTCTGTGAAAAGGTCGATGGTTTCCATCTTGTAAAAATAAATACAACAGTGTGCAGATTAAAAACGCCACCATTGTCTCTACAGCCAGTCCAAACCAATGGTGGCGTTGCAGAGAGGCTGCAGGTAGAGCACAGCTGAGACTGAAACGAACCTCATGTTCAACACGCTTTATTTAGACGCTTTGTAAAAGATTTAATTAAATGAGTCGTGAGGAGAAAATAACTGCTGCGTGCCGTCATAACGTAACAGTTCAGGACTAAGAACAGAGGCTGGCGGTACGACTCAGGCTTGTCTCGCTCTCCGGCTGTGAAAGCGCTGCAAAGTAAACCGCGGTTCGCTTTTTTAACAGCAAAACATGCATTTAAATAAACCAGGTTATAACCACAAATTGTTTGGGGGGGGGGGGGGGGGGGGGGGGGGGGGGGGGGGGGGGGGGTACTGTCAGGGCCTTCTACATGGTTTGTGCAATAAGAGATCAAATAAAGTTTAAAGGGAAATCAGTGAATATTAATCCTAAGAGCATTAAAAAGCTGCTTAGTGAAGAAAAACACATTTTTATCTTTTATCTGATTGTAAAACACTTTCAGTCAAACTGATCCCTAATTATGTTCAATAAGTGATGACCTTAACCGCTGTCGATTGTTGTTTTCATAGAAAATCCCCCCAAAATGCAAACTGTAAGTAAACGATGGCTGCATCCACTGATATGACACTTTGGTTGCTGTAATCCTGTCGTGAGGCTCGCACTGAGCATTTTCACTCCACCGTGTGACAATCAGAGACACTGCAGCTGGTCACAGTCACACCTGCGTAATCTGCTGCATCCTCCTTTATGACTGTAAGGAGGCCATCATGTACAAACTGGACATCAAACACACTCTTCAAATTATGTCAGATATATTTCTGGAGTTGTGTTTTAAAGAAGTAAAGTGACCATAAATTGATCTTAAGGGTCAACAAGTCGAGTGAGGGTGCACACAGAAAAACAGGAGCTCCCCAAATAAAATATGTGTCAGTGAAGAGAACCATTGAAACTAAATCTATCACGGCGGCCTGTGATTGCTTACTGGGAGGCTACAAGTTTAACACTGGGCTACATGGAACCATTCAGAGAAAAGCAAAAGCCCGAGGCTGTGAGGCGACTGTGTGTCACTGTGCATAACAATGAACTGGTATTTTACAAAAGGAGCTGAATGAACTGCAGGTGGTGTGCGATACATGCCTTTATTTTACTGGAAGCAAACAGTCCAGCGGGAGTTACTGACACACTTCTGACTCTTCTTCATAGCAGCAGGAACGTGTCTTTCCCTCTGACGGTGACCAAGAATGCATCTGACTGTAATCTCATCAATACAGTCAGAGGTTATTGTAAGTGTGCACTGATGTAAAAGGCTGGGTAATAACACTCCATATTAGTCTTCAGTCACCCACATCCTCTGTACACGTGGATCCTCAGGCAGCGCCACACTGCGGGGAGACACGAGGACGCTGACCTGCACACACACACACATGCATGAAACCAATCAGCAGTGTCACCTTTGTCAGGCAACAGCAGGTAAGGCTGAGAATCTGTGGGTGAGGCCAGCGTGAGCACACAGTGGGATCATTTAGATAAGAAACAAAGGATCCACTCTTTCATCGTGTGCCACGCTGCTTATCAAATATAAGGTTTATGCAACAGGTAACAGTGATGTGCAAGCTATTTATTCAAAAGGATCATTTATTCTTAGTGCTAAAAACAAATGATTGAAGCTAGCCACTCATTTTCAAAATACTGATACTTTAATATTTCTTTTATTGAGGTGCCAAACTACAGTTTCTGAACAGAAAAATAGTTTTAGTGGCTGAATGTTAGTCTTGTGTAATCACAGCTACACTGGACGTCTCAGAGAAGTCCAGCCGCACAGATGAATTCAGCCAGAAATTCCTCTCCTGTTCACAGTGGTGAGGATTAAAGCATTCGGTGGTGTTCAGTAAGACAAGCTGCTGTCACAGTGTGGTCCAGCAGATCCAAAATGTTCCCAGGAGGAAACAGAAAGCTAAAGTGAATGAAGCACCTGCTCTTGCTTTTGTCAGAAACCTTAAAGCAAAGATAAATGCTTCTCGGCTGAACGCTAAAAATCACAGGTGCCTGAGGACAGGCCTCAGATCAGCCAGCGAGACTGTAGGTGTATGTATGGGGGGACAGTATGACGAACATGAAGGTGTACCACAGCATGTCTGCATCATCATCATCACTGGAGCGTCTTTGCAGCCATACTCTGTTGACATGCACGGGCTCGTTCTCTTTCCTGACCTCTGTGAAGTATATGCTAGCCCACAGGTGTCAGTAGATTACCACCGACGGCTGACAGTGAACACAGACTGTGTTTGTCACAGCCTGATAAAGACTTTGAAGTTAACACGTACCACACACCGACTCTCAGCCCTGTGACACTGTGATAAAAACACACGTATGCTGAATTAAATCTGGTAACAGTCAGACTCGACTGAGATAATCTGAGATGTTCTTGGAGGAGCCACACGTCAGTCCATTGTCCTCGTTTAGCTCAAAACAAGAGTGGAGAGACGAGTCATCCAGATAAATGACTTATCAGTATCGATCATGTCCAGCGCCCCACCTTTGTGTCAGGCGTCCAGCGCGTCCCGCCGCCTCAGCAGAATCCTCTGCAGCTCGTCGTCTCGGGTTGTTGTCGGAGACGCTGCCTTTGGTTGTTGTACAGTTCTGTTAAAATTCTCCTGGCCAGTTCAAACCACAATAACACAGATCAGGACAAAGAAAAGCAGCAGCTGCATCACAAACACGTATCTGCGTCTTGTTAACACTGCAGTGGAAGTATAATTAAGGTTTCTTCAAGTCTTCATGTTGTGTTTTTAGCATGAGAGTAGCCTCGTTAAATGTGGCACTGCTACTCTGATCTCTGACTTTAGTGTATTTTCATGTTAAATTGTATTCCAAGCACAACTTTGTATGACATGAAAAACAAACAAGTAATTTCAGATGTGAAAACGCAGCGAAAGTTCAACTAGTAAAATGCGGCTTGTGAGGACGTGTGATTGTTTTAAAGCCCCATTACCATGATTCCTTTAAGTTCCTGAATAGCAGAATTAGAGGGCAGCTTCTCCATCTGATAAAAGGAAAATAGGAGGAAAAAGATGGGTTTGGTAAATAAACAGCAGTCTGACACATTATACTTATTTTTCCTCATTCAGCACTTAGAGGCTAAACTGCACCTCTTACCACAGAGACGAGACACTGTAGGCAAGCACAAGGAAGTATGCTTTCTACAAGAAGCAAATATGTCAACACACAATCATTCTGAGTCACGTCAATTTTCCCATCCTCATTATTTATAATTACCTTGTAGAGCAGGTCCTAATGCTATCTAATTTGGCTGAGCTGTTGAGGCGGAGGAACAAGCAGACGAAAAGATGTCTTTGCCATGTGTCATGTTTTATCAAAACAACAAGCTCTTAGATAATTCCCCACACTGATGGGTTGGAGAGCCCTGAACAATATATGCTCAATGTACAAAAAACTCAGTGAGGTCTGAGAACAGCGGACGTCTGCGGCCGGCGCTGCAGTTTGGCAATTTTAGCAAAGATGAGCCACATTCACACGTGTCCGTCATCCTTCCAGCTGTACGTCCGCCGCGCTCCCCTTTCATGCTTCCATGTCCTGTATACTCTGTCTGTCTTTAGCCACTCTTTCATTTGTCCAAATAAAAAGTTGACCAGTTGTCAGTGAGGTCACATTTGTGTGTCAGCTGCTGACATTATGAACTCACACACTCCTCAAACGATGCAGCATTAACCTCGACATGGCTCCATCACGAAACAGCATCATCAAGTCTTCGTAGGTCCTTTTCGTTTTTCTATGTAACAGACCTCAGTGTCACCTCCACATTAAGTTTATTATACATCTTTTGTAACCCCCTTTACATTCACGTCTCTGTTTTGATCTTAAACAGTAGTTCTAGCAGGTCTGTGGCTGCTCTGCTGGTAGAGTGGATCATGTGATCACGCTGTATGCAAACAAATCTGAGGGCAACACTTTGATCTGACGCTATGGAAGGAAAAACTGAATCTCACAGCAGGAATGACCTTGTTACAAAGTCATGCACGAGCTAATAATTATCATGACTTACAGGAGGGTTCAGGAAATTGCAGTCAACACAACAACTGATAAGAAACATAGTGTTTCATTTTTGAAAAACACCGTCAACACAGCGCTGCAGTATTACCAAATACTGTTGGGATTCAATACCAAGAAAATGGAGGTTAAAAGCATCCACAAACTAGCACCCTCACACCTTTCTGATCTTTTAAACTGATCCAGTCCTGCGAGGTCACTGAGGTCTGCGGATCAAATGCTCCTGGTGGTCCCGATTAAAGCCCAGAGGAGAAGAGGCCTTTGCTGTGACTGCTCCTCAGCTGTGGAACAAACTGGCCCTTCACATCAGGACCTCCCCAACACGGGACACTTTCAAACCGTCTGAAGACACACTTTTCTTCCTCGGCTTTTAAATCAGAATGAGTTTGTATTTATTCATCTTATTCTCACTCAAATCTTCTAATTTTATGATTCTTTTTCTTAACTCTTATCGTGTCTCCCTGTGTTTTTATTTCTTTTAATTAATTATCTTAATTGTACAGCAGCTTGGTCAACGATTGTTGTTCTAAATGTGCTATATAAATAAATTTGACTTTGGCTTTAAAAATCAAAAACAGCAAATCACGGACCACGTCAGGGTTAGGTTACCTGTTTCCTGCCGCTGTTGGGTGATTGGTTGACAGGTCGAAGCTGAACACCTTTCTTAATCCTTTGCATCATTTCCTCCACTGCCTGCTGCCTGACATCCACTTCTGGCAGTGAGTGACCGACACACACAC